CATTGTATGATCTCTTTTTAATTACTGCAATATTTTTAACTCTATTGATGGAGGAATAGCATATTTCAGGCAGGAGAAATAAGAGTATTTAATTGCATGTATATCGATTGCAGTTTTGTTATCGATATACTCCTTCCTATTACCACAAACCGGTCTTGACGGAGCCTATCATGTGTGTAATATCTCCCTTTTTCCGGCATGATTTGGTGGGCTAACTATTCCTTCTTTTTCCATTCTCTCAACAATATTTGCCGCTCTATTATAACCTATTCTCAGTTGCCTTTGAATATAACTGGTTGAAATTTTTTGATCTCTTTGAATGATAGACACTGCTTGATTATATAGATCATTTTCTTCGCATTGCATTTCATCACCTCCATCTGATGGAAAATTTTCATCTTCTTTAGTGATTTCTTCCATATAATTTGGCTCACCCTGTGCTTTAAGATATTCAACTACACTTTGTACTTCTTCATCGCTGGCAAATGGACCGTGAACCCTGATGATTTTTCCACCAGACGCCATATACAGCATGTCACCCATACCAAGTAGTTGCTCAGCACCTTGTTCACCGAGTATTGTACGACTATCTATCTTAGAAGTAACCGAAAAACTAATTCTAGTTGGAAAATTTGCTTTTATCACACCAGTTATAACATCAACAGACGGACGTTGAGTTGCCATTATTATATGTATCCCTGCAGCACGGGCCATTTGAGCTAAACGTTGAATAGAGCACTCTATCTCCTTGCCGGCAACAATCATCAAGTCCGCCATTTCATCAACAATTACTACAATATAAGGAAAAGTTTCCATATTCACCACTACCTTCTCAAATATAGGTTTACCTGTTGTTGAGTTAAAACCAATCTGTACAAGACGTTTCAGTTCTACTCCATTGCCCATAGCTTCTGTGATTTTTTGATTGTAATTTACCATATTACGCACGTTTAAGTATGACATCATGCGGTAGCGATTCTCCATTTCTTTTACCACCCACTTGAGTGCAATGATAGCTTTTTTTGGCTCTGTAACTACTGGTGCAATTAAGTGCGGTATTGAATCATATATGGAAAGTTCTAGCATCTTAGGGTCTATCATTATCATCTTGCATTCATCGGGACTTAATCTATACACCAGTGAAAGAATCATAGTATTAATTGCCACTGACTTACCTGATCCCGTGGTACCTGCAACAAGCAAGTGAGGCATTTTTGTTAAATCTGCAATAACGGGTTTGCCGCTTATCTCCTTGCCAAGGGCTATGGGAAGATTTAGTTTTGAATTTTGATATTCAGATGATTCAAGTAAATCACGCAACATTACTATTTCTCTTTCCTTATTAGGCAACTCTATTCCCATAGCGTTTTGCCCGCGAATTATTGAGATGCGAGCTGAAAGTGCACTCATTGACCGCGCAATATCATCAGCAAGACCGATTACTCTTGCAGATTTTGTTCCAGCTTGTGGTTCAAATTTATATAAAGTTACTACTGGTCCATAGCAGATATTGATAACTTGCCCCTGAATACCAAAATCATTGAGAACTTTTTCTAATAGGGCTAAGGTTTGACCGCCCTCTGCTTCATCTAATTTTCTCTTTTCTACTAGCTCTCGACCTTTGGAAAGTAAGTTAATGCCAGGAAGATTAAAATAATCGGTAGGTTCTTGAGAATTTTTTTTAGAGATTTTTTTTCGCTGTTTGGCTGGACAAATTCTTTTTTCCGCAATGATTAAAGGTTCATAGAATTCACCCAACCCAAAAGAACGTTGCATAAATCTAAAGACTAGGGGTTTAAATAAAAAACCAACCGTTCTCTTCCAGCCGATAAGACCCACCAAACCTATAGATGTCGCTATTGTAAATACATAAAATGTATAATTGTTAATTAACGCATCCCCTATTATTCCTCCGTGCCTATATCTTATAGTTATGTTAAATGAGGATTTAGGCAACATCATGCATATCCATAAATTAACTGGGATTAAATATAAAATTTTCGACAATATTCGTGCCGGCCTGAAGATTAGTAAATAAACTACAGTAGTAGCTATTGTAACACTAGTTAACCCAAGAAGCTGCACTAATATATCAGCTAAATACGCACCTACTATTCCCCCCAAATTTGTCACTTCCGCATTTGTTGAGGTATTTAAGGAGGGATCTTTATAGTTATAGCTAAAAATTAATATGTAAATATATATCAAAAACAACAGATACACCAATGACTTAAAGTATTGCTTTAACATCTACCTGAAGTAGTAAATTATGGTGTATTTTACAAAGTGTACTCCTATTAGCAATATCATTACAGATAAATCCAAACCATTAAAGGGCCTTATATACATACCGATAAATCTCAGTGGTGGATGAGTTAATTGATTTAAGGTACGTATTATACTACTAACGAATTCATCGTAGATATTCAATATATTGAGTCTTGTCATCCAATTGAGAATAATCCAGCATATTAAGACGAGGCTATATAGATCAAGCATAGAGATGATTAAGTATATTAGTGGATGCATAACTTAACTTTTTGTTATACTTTTACTACATGAATGATTACAAATCAAGTGCTATGTATTACAGCATTTTTCATAACTCTTTTAATATTTATAAGTTCAAGGTTAGTAGAGCTTATGTCTTGTGAGCATTGACCATTAAGCTCAGAAGAGCTTGCGCCTTGGCCATTAGTTTGCTTCTGTAACTCATTAATCATTGTACCATTCATTAAAATATCCCTAATATGAAAATTTGTTTTTTCTTGCTTACTTGTTACTTTATCTATTATACAATTAATAATTAAACTAAACAATGACCCTGCCAGATAGTATACCATATTTACAGTCGATTTTTCTTTTCGTAAATCTTCCATAATATCTGAAATAGAACCTTGATTAATCGAGAGACTTAAATTTTGTCCTTCTAATAAATTCATTGTAAAAGTAGGAAGCATGGTAGAACTTATTCTAGTTGACTTATTTGCTTCACTTTCTTTTATATGATTCCAAGCCGTAGTACATATATAATCAAAAAACTTAACCTTAGTCTTGGTATATCCCCATCCTAACTCTTCTGCAGACGCAAAGGTCGGATCAAGATTGAAACTCTCTGGTTTGTCTAGAAGCATTACTATGCTAGGTGTGTGCTTTTTGTCATCTTTATCTGTATATTGAAAAAGATCATGGGGTGATATTTGCGTTCTTTTTTCGAAAAAAAATGGCATAAATAGGCGTATATGACCAAATTCAACACCAAGCTGTCCAAATTTTAATGCGCATTTGCCATTTATGAATTGAAAATCTGTAAGTTTATTTAATATTCCGCCGTCCAGGCTAGCACCTACATCAGGATGTTTTGTTGTTTTATGGTCAAATAGAGCAATTGCAAAAGTCTTTTCATGGTCGGTGATTTTATCCACTTCTTGTAAGTCTTTATTAGCACTGTAAAACTTATTACCTCCATATATTAACTGTATATTCACATTTTCCTCTATGTTTTCAACGGCATCATGCCATATAATCTGTTCATCATCATCTTCATTTTGCCTTGGATCTTCTAAATTAAGTGTTTCACCCTCATCTAGTTCTGAGAGAGTTTCAACAGCATCATAGAATAGCTCTTCATCTAGTTCTGATGCAGTGTAATCCCTTTCATTTTCTAGATGACCCGCCTGTGCTTCTTTCTCTTGAATCTGAGTATCATCATTAGTAGAGATATCCAGCGGCGCATTATTTTTGTTGCTACGTGCAAATAAGCTTTTTACCTTTGCCATTAAGTCAATCCACGCTGATTTAGCTCTGTTAAATAAAGATTTAATATCTATTTTCATAATACTCTCTACCATCAACCTTAACAAGTTTCAATTTTATCACAATAAATTA